CAGGGACTGTTTGTTGTGGGGAATGATTTATGCCAACCAGATGAATGCCTGGACAGACTAGAATGCTAGTGTTCCAACTTATCATGGAGATGGATGTCAGAAATAAAACTTCAGTGGCTGGTTATTTATCTAGTAGTTCAAGTCACCTTTTCATAATAATTAATTAACTAATGGAACAGTCCTTCAGGAGTTTATAATCGGAGCACAGGGAAATAAATTGTTTTCAGGATCTGGAAAGATCGATGAGCCATTCTGTCCCACAGTCATCCCAGCGGTGTGATAAAATCCTTCTCCTTTTGGTTTGCACTGGGAAATGCAGTGGATTCTTAACCTACCCTTCTGTCTTTTAAATGCTTCCTGCAGACTGACTTTTTGTTCTGACAGGACTTGAGGCAGTCACGTTACAGTAAGGTGGACTAGATTACAGATTTTATATTCCATTCCTGAAGATACTTTTCTTAACTTGATTGAATTTGCATGTTTCCCAAGGCTCCATACACTTCACACAATGTCTCTCTTTGTGGCTGTTTGCTACAGACATATCATCTGCTTTTCAGTGGTTCTTAAATTGGAGCATAGGGGTTACTAGGGAAATTTGTTTAAAGTGCAGATTTTCAAGTTTGACCTCTTTGATTCAGATTAAGTAGATCCGGGGACTGAGTTTATTCTTAGGTCTTACCTACAGTTAGAGAAACATCATATATGTGTGAATTCTTAGCAGTTTCATTTCCAGGGGCAAATTCTTTACTGAAGTCTTTGATACTCTACATGCTAAGACAGAAATTTACTTTCAAAACCTTGGAAAGTTTCTTAAGTACCCACAACCAATTTTTAAAACAGGTCAAATGTTTGCAGTTAACTCTTGCTTTTTAAAATTTATTTATTTTTGCCAAAATACCCTGGGGAAACTATGGTTATATTGGCTACACAGAAAGAAACTTCTCTTTGTTCCAGAATATCTTGACCATCTGCTGCTTCTCCTAGCTGCTCTGGTTCAAGACTTCCTCATCTCCCAGGTGGATAAGTCACAGATTTCTTCAGAACTGCACCCCATCCATCCTCTCCCTGGGTGCACATTGTTAATGAAGGTGATGGTAGCTGTTGTTGGATTTGGGGTAGAGGGAAGAACATGGTCAGGTTGTGACAGGATGGAAGATGGATTAGATGGGGGTATCAGTCTCTAGGGAGTGAGTACGTTTTTTTGTTTTTTTAAAAAAGCTAGTATTAGAATGAAATAGCAAATTTGGAAAATGTGGAAATTTGCTTTTACAGTATAGAGTGTAATATGTAATACTTGAACAATCAGAAGCAAGAGAAGAGGTCTCAGTCTTCTGGGAACAGGATCCTAGAAGGATCCTTGCTGTCCTCAGACCCATTTATTGTGTTCCAACGTTTATTTATTTGCACATGGTATTTTCCTTTTTTGTCTGCTGCCTCACTGTTAACACTTACTGAATACTTATTTTGTGTGTCCTTATTAGGATGTGAAAATATGGTGGTGAACAAGATTAAATTGGTCCTTTGTCCTAACAGAGCTTACAGTTTCATGGGGTTGGGGAATGAGATACCAAGTAAAAACCCATATGATAGCATAATGGTAACTAGGGGGAAAAATGTTAGGAAAAAGTGCTGTGAATGGATGGGAAAGGGCATCTAATCTAATCTAGAAGGTCAGGAAAGTTCCAATTGAGTTTCACTGACTTTTTAGCCTAGACCTGAAGAATCAATAGGACTTAATTAGAAAACTGGGGAGTTGAGAGGAGGGTGTTTGTTTTGGGTAGGGGAGCACCTTTTCCTTAAGGCCTGAGGCAGGGAGGAATAACAGAAATACCTGAGGAGGCCTGTGTCATTGGAGGTTAGTGAACCAGAGGGAGAGGGTTCTTAATGTCTTAATGTAGGAGGGTTACGCAGAGGCCTTACAGTTTACAGAGACCTTTTTATACTTTATCCCCAAATTAGGGGTGAGGGGTTTTAAGGATGTGGCAAAGAGTGTGGTCATGTTCAGATTAATATTTGAAAATGGTGACTTTGGCTGTTTTGTAGAGAAAGCATTGTGGAGTATAAGGTAGGGATTAGCAGCCTGAACAAGTTATTGTATAGCCTCTTGAGGCTGTTAGTTCAGGGGAGAGATGATGGTAGTATGGACCAGGGTGTTAGGACTGAAGGTAGAGAGAACTGAATGAAGAATTATTTTGTAGCATGAGTTGGTAGGACTTAGTGAGAGATGATTAGATGTGGAATATGAAAGAAAGTGATGTCAGGATTGACTCCTAGATTTCATGATTCAATTGAATGCGAATAATAGTTATTTTCATTGAGATTGTAGGGAATGCTAGAGAAGCAGGGTTGGCGGGAAGGATAAGAGCTATTTTGAAAGTTCTTTCTCTATGGATTCTTATTCTTCACGTTTGAAACTATGACTTCACAAGATTCTGCTCAAAATTGCCCTCCTGTGAAATGATTTTTGAAGCTCTCTGAAACCTCTGCCCCTACCATTTTCCATAGAGCAGTAAATTGTGCCCTTGTGTCATTTGGTAAAGTCTTTTCTTGGTATTTCCATCTCTATTTGATAATTGGGCTTTCCAGGTGGCTCAGTGGTAAAGAATCGGCCTGCCAGTGCAGGAAACTTGGGTTTGATCCTTGGGTCAGGAAGATCTCCTGGAGGAGGAAATGGCAACTCCCTCCAGTATTTTTACCTGGGAAATCCCATGGACAGCGAGCCTGGTAGACTCCTTTGTCCATGGGGTCCCAAGGAATCAGATGCGACTAAGCACGTATGCATGCACGTATTTGATAATTTATGTGCTTGTCTTTCTCTCTCCCCAGACTTCATTTCTCGGGCAGGGACTACCAAATAGCTCTTATTTGTTTGGTATTCTCCAAATGTGGATAAATAATTCTACAAGTGTTTTCCACTGAGTTACATAGTATGTTAAGATTTCCTTTATCTTAAATTCAGGTAATACTAGATTAAGTTATTTTACTACAGAACTTTCCCCAATCTTTGTATTCTAATATGGCTTGTGAATCTCTGGAAAGGGCATGACGTGTGTAGTACTTGCCAATATTATTTAGTTCTCCCAACCTCTCCCCCACCAGCTTTTGTCTTCTGAGCATCTCACGTTACTATTATTGAGTGTAGGAGTTGGTGATAGGAACAAAGGTGGGAAATGCTGGTTTGGATGTACGCTTGTCACAGTAGGGACATAGTTCACTGAGTGTGGACTACATGAAAAGCAAACCCAGCGGCCATGGGCGAACATCACTGGATGTCTTTGGGAAGCTTGTTTTGCCTATAGTTGTTGCAGATCTAGTTCATTTACTCCCACTGAACAAAACAGACATCAGGGGATGAGAATTTACTGTCTGTTGTTTGCCCCTGCCAGGCTAAAAAGCTAGGTGACATGAAGTGACAAATTTTGTTCTGTTTCTTTGTAGCTAAGCTGAGAAGAGTGGAACAAAAAATTCTTTGGTGCTTTTATTTATTAACTCTCAACATCAAAACAGTGCCTTTCTTATACCACCTGGGTTGTTCATAAAAATAAACAGAGTTATATTAGTAACTTTTTTTTATAAAAGAAATAAATGTTCAGTATTTTTCTAAGGCTATTTATATTCTGTTTTAGAGAGTTGGCTATAGTGACGCAGAACCTAGGTCTCAGGGAAATATAGAGTGGAGAGACTAAATGAGAAAGATAGTGTCCTTTTTTTGAATAGTGTATGAATTTATTTTAGAGGGGAGTTTTTCTCTTTTTCAAAAGTTAGAAAGTTCAAGATAATTCATTTTTGGAAAGTTTTACCAGGAACTCACTGACTCAAACAGGAAAAAAAAAATATTTTTTAAACTTAAATTTTATTTTGTAATGCCACATGATACTATTATGTTGTGTTTCTTAACAAACTTTAATTTCTGGCATCTTCCTTATAGTCATGTGGAGAGGGTCGGGGCCTTTGCTTCTCAGACTATAGAGTTAACAATGGAAATCATTTTTTTGAGTGATATAAAATACGGCTTAGATTAGTCACAACCACATCTACATCTATATAGCCACATCTTAATTTATATATTTTCATTCACTTGCCCCACCTTTTTATTGTAGACGTTCATTTCCAAATGGGAGTAGCTTGGAATGGCAGGGACAAATTGATCATTTTTAGTCTTGTTCTCAGAGAAATTATCAGCTTCTGTCATCAGTTTAATATTCCCTCACCTATCAGGGCCAGTCTTTAGAACTGAACCTCTGAGGTTACCATAAAGAGCCATCAAAATCTGTGAATAAAGATTATATTCTTCCCTTTAAGAAATGCCTGGGGAAAGGAAAAATAATTGCTGAATACTCTTAGCAGCAGAGATAGGGGCTGTATGAGTAAAATGTAGTAATATTTTTTAGCAGCAAAAAACAGCTGCGGTTTTTTATGCTTCTTGTTTAGTATCAATCTAGTCACTTCTGTGCTGTACATACCTTAACACAAAAAATGATGCTATACATGGAACTCTGGTCAATGTTATGTAGCAGCCTAGATGGGAGGGGGGTTGTGGGCGAGAATGGATACACGTATATATATGACTGAATCCCTTTGTTGTTAACCCGAAACTATCACTACATTGTTAAGCGGCCATACTTCAATACAAAATAAAAAAGTCTTTTATTAAAAAAAATTGATGCTATAAATTTGTCTAGACATGGTAATCTGCAGTTGCTTATTCTATTGAAAAAAATCACAGCTTATGGGGCTTCCCTGGTGTTCCAGTGGCTAAGACTCTGTCCTCACAATGCAGGGGGCCTGGGTTCAATCCCTGGTTAGGGAACTAGATTCCACATGCCACAACTAAAGATCAAAGAACTTGCATGCCCAGCACAGCCAAATAAATACTTTTTAAAAAATCACAGTTTAGGATGTATTTTTTGGAAAGCTTCACTCTGTGCTTCGGCTCCTAAAAAAACATGTGTTGTCTAGGAAACTACTTTTAACCATAGAAACTCCTGCATTTGTTTCAGGTCGATCTTCTCTCTTTCCCTTTGAAGATGCCTTCCTGGACGACAGTCACGGCGATCAGTCTTTGTCATCTGGCTTAAGTTCTCCCACTCGCTGTCAGAATGGGGAGCGAGTAGAGCGCTACTCTAGAAAGGTGTTTGTTGGAGGCCTTCCTCCTGATATCGATGAAGGTACCATGCACTCACTATGGCTTAATAAAGTCCAGGGTTGTTACTTGTGTGATCTGACCCTACCTTTCCTCTCGAAGACAGCTTTAGGACTTTCATGTCTTAGTGTCAGGAGATGAGGATGCCCAATAGATGGAAAAGAAAGAGATTGTGCACCTCTGGTCTGCTTTTCAGACATGGCAGTCTCCAAACAGCTTCTCATTTCCTTGTTATTAATTTTGGGTCACATTTTTAAATGATAGTGAGAGCTAATATTTACGAAACTCTTCCAATAAGCCCATTGTGTGTGAAGTGCTTTATATTATCTCATTTAAACTCTACAGCTCTCCTCTAAGTCATCTCCTGCCAACTCCATTTTGTAGATGAGGAAACTAAGGATCAGAGAGAAACAGTTATGTAACTAGTGGTGCAGTTGGAATCAAAATCCATCTGATTCCAGAACTTTGTTCCTATCTATCGTATCATACCATTTCATGTTTTAATGTAGATACCTGTTAATGAAATAAGCCCTCTTGCCTTTGAAAGAATTGAGGCTAATTAGAATATTTCTTAATAATATGTTTGAGATACTAGCAATCCAAAAGTGAGTTTCACTAGTGCCTAAAGCTGGTCAACACATAGTAGGTTGTCAGTAAATATTTGTTGAATAGAAGAATGAAATAGAATTGTGACAGAGTTCACTCAAGGGAAGAAAACAACTCTAGTTCTAGTAGGCTTTGGATCTGCTATAAAAACATTGTTAAAACAAAATTGTTTTGCCAGTGTTATTCAAGCTATAATATTTCTCTTAATTTATCATGATTTTCTTTTTTTCATGAGAGAAATGGTTTTACTTTAGGCTTACTGCTTTGAAGTTGTATACAGCTGAAGGCTCATTTTTCTCTAAACTATTCTTTTACTAGTTTACTATTTTATTATTTTACTACTAGTTTACTATTACTTTTACCAATCTCATCTATAGAGATACCTGTTAATGAAAAACCTCTTGGATTTTTCTTTAAGACAAAGTTGTTGATCATGGCTGTTGTTTAGGCACTCAGTCATGTCTGACTCTTTGTGACCCCTTGGACTGCAGCACACCAGGCTTCCCTGTCCTGAGAGAGTAGCAACTTAAACCTGATTAGGAGCTCAGTTATAACCTTCTGCTTTGAATCAAAAGTCAGAAGGAAGAGATAAATCTGTTCAGCTATAACTTTTGAAACATTTTCTTTATAGGAAGTGTGGTAGATATGGGTAAGAGAAAGAAACCATTGGCTTTTAGTTTTTTCATATCCTTAAGTCACTTATTGTCCCTGCTCCTCACCAAAAGAATAGTATCTACTTCTAAAAGAATCTTATATTAATAATAATAATCTGAGATTAATAATCTCAGAGATTACTTCACATAAGTAGAAGTGTGTTTTAAATATTTTGTGTATTTTGCCTTTTTTTTTCAAAAACAGAGAACATTCCTATTTTTAGAGTCTCGTTTTTCCTTGCCAGAGTGGTCACCTTTGCTAATGTCAGAATTTTTTTCTTTCAGATTCTTTATATCAGGCTTATTGAAAGTGAAGGGAAGTGAATTATAGTTTGAAACACATTCTGCATGGTTGACAGTAGATAACCAAATGTACCCCCCTAACAATGGTATTTCACTTAATAAGTTTGACTTCTGTAAAGAATGCTCTAGAAAACAGCTCTCAAGAAACATTTTAAAATAAAAAGATATGTTTGATGCTGTTCTGTTTGCAGTATTTTTTTCTCTTCTGCTAACATTCCTCCTTTGTTTTGTAGATGAGATCACTGCCAGCTTTCGCAGGTTTGGACCTCTTGTCGTAGACTGGCCTCACAAAGCTGAAAGCAAGTCGTATTTTCCTCCTAAAGGTAATGCACTTAAAATGTCTGCACTGTTCAGTGGTTGGAGAGCTAGCATGATAGTTCAATAAAATGCAGCATTTTAACTCTGGAAATAGCTTTTGACTTCCCCCAGCCATTAAAAAATCATTTTAATGTTGATTGTCTTGGAGACTGTTCCCCCAGGAGTGTACTGATTGTTTCATGGCATCTACTTTTATTGACAATGAGATCCTGTGAGTCTGCTGTGAAGGAGCCTTGGCTAACTTTTCATTAACTGAAAGAAAAGATCTAGGGTTTTGAGGATTGTCAACATTGGAGAAGATTATTTTGAATAAAATTTTATTTGTAACCCGTAGCCCTGTAGTTTTATAGATCTTATAAAACCCCAAACTTGGAAAAGCTAGTGACAGGAGAATGACATTATATGAAATTACCTTTATCCATGCCTGTATCTTAAGTGATTTAGCCTGGTGACGGGTAGAGGGCAAAGTAGCATGACCTTGCTTCCCTTTCCATGACTTTGCTCTCCTTACTTTTGGTAGGCTTTTTTGATAGTTTATGAGGGCATTAAAATATATCACTTTGTTTATAGTTTATCATTTTGTGGAATCTAGGGAACTTTTCTGATGGTATTAATTCTGGGTATGTTTCTACATTTATATTGAAGAGTGTTTTGAGTTACAGAGAAAGTTTTCTTCTTGTGTTATGGTCTGTATGTTTCAAGGATGTCCTTCATCTCTAAGGAATTGGGCTTTGATGGGTGTTATTGTGTAACAGTATTCACCACAAGAAGATGGAGTCCAAATACCTGTCCTTCCTGTGCCTTGAACAGGAATCAAATTATAGCTTAGCCTAGCAACGGCAGGAGGCTTCCTTTTATGTCTGGTTTATTAGATTTGTCACCTGTACTTCTCCCCACTCTATTGCCTATGAAAATAATTTATTCACTAAATATAAGGTTATTTGTTTGCTTTTAACATTCTTCTGTTAATCCTCTACAATAATTTTTTAAAATTAAAATTAAATTTTATATTAGTCTAAAAAGATAAAATCATCAAGCTGATTATTTCAGTGAAGGAATGTATTCACTTTGTGGTGCATATATGACACTAAAGAAATATTTAAAACATATTTTTAACAATGCTTAATGGTTCGTTGAGTCAGAATCTTGGCATTTCAGTGAATGAATGAGTATATCTCACTGTGCTGCATGTAATACACTCTGTAAAGTCACATGTATAAAAAGATGTTCCTGAGAGTACTAGTTACACATGTGAATGAAGGCAGCATCATTTCAGGGAAAGAATGTATCCACCATGCTGTGGTGCCTGTAATACACTCTGTAAAATGACATGTATAAAAGATACTTCCCCTCTGCCTCCCCGAGACTGAGTATGTATTTATTCTTGAAATTAAATGTCAAATACATCTTACAAACAACCAACAATATTGTGCTTTAGACATGTGTAAAAGATATTTTTAAGAGTGCTAGTTGAAAAAAAATCATTCTGAGAAGGTTATAAAAATGATTCTGGGATAAAAGGTGCAGAATGATCATTGTAAAAAATAAAAATGAAAATAAGCACATCTATGATCATGCCCAAAGAAAATTAACACAAATATACCTCTGTCAGAGATGATCACTGTATACATTTTATTAAATATCTTTCTTATATTTCTTTATGAATACATACATTTATATGAAATTTAAAATTTTTAATTGGGGTCACGCTATATATGCTAATATTTAATAACCTGAATTTCCCCCCAGCAATGTCAACATCTTTCTGTAAGAAACTTACACGATCCTATGACCTTGTTTTACTTACTCAGTCCTATTGAGGACATTTAAGTTGCTTTCAGTTGTTTTTCTCATGGATGCTGCTTCAGTGAATATCCTTGTGCCTTCATTTTTTTGCTTCTCTCTAATGACACCTTAGGGTGAATTTCCAAAAGTGAGGTACATGTTTATACCTATTGCCAAGCTGCCCTTAACAAAGCTCATACACATTTGTATTCCACTGGTAGTACCTAGTTTGTGAAACTTTGTTCTGTTGACGGTCTGGAGATACGGCTCTTTTTCAATCTTTGCCAATCTGATGGTTAAAATAGCATCCTTTCTGGCATTTTTTCTCTTACTAGCCATTTGAATTTATTATTTTACTTTTATTTCATCGACATTTCATTTCTGTCTGGGATTAATAATGGAGTAAGGCACAAGAAAAGATCCACCTTTGTTTTTCCAGGTAGTATGCCAGCTGTCCCAGCTGTCATTTATTGACAGTTCCTTTTTTTCCTCATTGATTTGAATCATTAGAATTCAGTATTGGTTAAAAGGTCATCTCTCTTGTTTCTCTACACTGAATTTCAAAGACTTATTTTTTACAGAGGTAAAGGATTTCATTAGTAATTTTGTTTACATGTTACAATGATAGTTTTTTGGATATTTTGGATTAAAATATATTAAAATTAACCTCACTTGTTTCTGATTTTTAGCTTTTTAAATGTAGATATTAGAAAATTTTAAATTACATATGTGACTCATATTTATTGGACAGCACACCTGCAGAACACGAGTCAACAAACACTCTTTGTTTAGCCTGTGAGCTCAGGATGGTCTTTATATTTTTAAGTGTTGTAAAAACACATACACAGAGAAGAATAGATAATAGAGATTATATGTGGCCCTCAAATCCCTTTGCAGAAAGTTTATTGACTTCTGCAGCCCGGAGAATTGTTTACCTTCTGAGACATCCAGTGACAAAGGAGGCATTTATTTCAGAGGAAGTCTATATTTGTAGACATAAATAATTATTAAATTTTGTTCTTCTGTTGGAGATGATCACTGTAAAAGTAACAGTGAAAATAAGCATATATATGGTCATACAGTCTTTACCTGTTGGTCAGTTGTGTCCAGTAAAGTAAAACAGAGTAAGTCATTGTTGTGACATATGTTTTTGGTACATCAAGGACTATCAGTTCTCCTTCAAGTTTTCTCTTTTCCAAGCTAAATATTTTCACATCTCTACCCATATTTTATGCGTAATGGACCACCATTATTCTTGTCTGCCTTGTACATTATTCTTGTATGTGTGTCATCTCTGCAACATCCTACTTAAATTTATCTCAGAGCTAAAGAAAAAACATTTGGGGTGGTATGAGCAGTATAGAGCTTAACAGCTCTATGAACTCTCCATGGTTTGGGTGCCCTTCCTATTTAACAGCACAATAACATAGAATTGTAGGACATTAGAGAAGTTGCTCTTACTTTACTACTGAGGTTAAGTGTTGAGATGGACTAGTGAGAGCTAGGCCAAGCAGAGAATCTGGATCCCCTGATTCTGGTCCTCAGGCTTGCATCCTCAGAGAGCAGCTTGCCTCTCTGGTGATTTTGGGGTCAAGGAGGAGAAATAATTATTAAACTTTTGGCTCCTGTTGTGTTTTGCTCTCAGCCAAAGTCTGAAGGTTGACCTATTTTGGAAGGACCTAAAGAAATTTGGTGTTAGTCCAAGGTTGAAGTAACTCTGAGATTCCATGCCCTTTGCTTTGAACACTGGGGACACCTAAGTAGTTTATTCCAAACTGTTTTGTGCCTTGTTAATAATGCCCCCTCGTGCTGTTTCTGCTTTTCTTTGAATTCCTCAGGTTTTAATTCAGGTCAGTGCTTTTTTGGTAATACTCCTCTTGTCAGTTATACTTTTCTTAGGTCCCTGCAGCTTGGGCATTAAGCACAGTTTCTTTGGCTTTATGCTTTAGGCTTACGTGTAGATAAGAGGAAAATAAGAACCATACACTATGAAGTCCTTCTGTCTTTTTCTCAGAACATGTGTGCCTAATGAAATAAACAGAATCATTCGTGTATCTGGCAAGTATGCCTGTACAGATTTGGAGTACGGTTTGTCAAACCATGGCCATTTCACTGAACTATGGAGAGCTTAATATCTATGTAAGGAAGCAGTGACCACATACATCAACTGTTCTCTTAAGTGTTGTTGGGCCAGCAGTGTGAGAGGGGATGGAGACTGGGGTTCTCGCCAACAGAAAGCCACTGAAGCATTTGATCAACTCTTTGAGGATATGCAGAGCCCTCTGGAACAGTTTTTCTGTGGGCCACAAGCAGGTCATTGCATGGTGTTCTCCAGAACACCTCTGAAAGGAAGGAGGAAGAAAGCATGGAAATCATATTGTGTCTTAATGATGTGTTCTCAGACCTTCTGAACTTTAGAGTCCTCTGGGGGAAATCACAAAATAACGCAGTTACAAGCTATAATAGTTCTCTGAAGGAAAAATGGAGAATGCAGTGACTTTTAGAAAGGGAACTTCAATTTAGACTGAGGATATAGAGAGTTTCTTTGAGAAAACAGGGATTAGGTAGGACTGATTACTGAAGACTTAGCTAGAAAGTGTAGGGAAGCAATTTTAAAGCAGAGGAATACCATGTGTGAAATAGTAAGAAAAGGGCTTTATTTCCTTTGAAGAAATGAAGGAAGTGTGGTTGAAATGCTGTGATGAAGGAGAAAATGATGCAAAAGAAAGCCTTGGAAAGAAATACAATTTTTTCCCCTTCCCTAAATTTCTCTAGTCTCCCCAGAGAGAGTAGATATAAAGTATTTCTGTGGTGTTTGGGGTAAAGACAGAATGGAGTTGGGTCAAATAGAAATATCAATTTAACGTACTTCCAAATAGTTATTGATAAAACTAAAGCAAAGTCTTGCTTTGTGTTTTCTGCATTTGGTTCTCGATGATGAAAAGAAATTCAACTCTAGTCAAAATATTGAGGAATTTTCCTGACATTGCATCCTCATGCTTTTTAGTTCTGAAATAGCAGTTGAAATTGTGAGTGCTGGAAAGAGAGGTTCTCCCAAATGTTAGCACATGAACCAATCCCTGCATTCATATAAAATGCTAATCAACATCACTATGTAAGTAGCTTGGGTGCTAAGGTAATTCGAAGATAGTTACTACAAGTGGATGGTGAGAGAACAGAATAAGTGTGATAGAGGGCCTGTGTCCTGGTGCAAATGATC